TCAAGCAATAGATTTCATATTTTTCCTAGCATCCTTAGGGCACTAGGATACTACCTACCAAGTTTCATGGCCATTGGATTCCTAGATTATTTACTAAAATTTACACAAGAATCATCCAATGATAAAAGGAAAATCTATAACTCAAAAACTACACATGCAATGACTCTCAAATTTTAACCAGAGCTTCTACTATACCATACTAGCTTACCCACAAAATTTCACAATTTTTGGATCACAGAAACTCAAGATATGATTTAAACAAGTTTGCATGCAATCAAAAACACTTTTCAAGTTCCTATTTAATTCATCCAAATTTTCTACATGATATGCTCAAGATATATTTTTATTAATTACTAGACCTAACAATGAGTCTAACAAAATTGGAAGAACTCAATTTGGATCTACCAAGTAGGAGTTACAAAAATATCAAATCAGCACTAAAAACTGGATTTTTGAACTAGCTTATGATTTGCACAATCATCGACAAGCAGGACCCTTTGTCACCGGGCCCATGTGTCATAGACACGAAAAGCAGGGAGACAGACGCGGACCGGTAGCGGGGAGACAGCGGAGCTCGCCGGCGGTGAGGACTCCGGCGAAACCGGCCGGCACCGGCGTGACTACCACTACCACCCGCGTCGATTGACCTACTTAACCTAACCTCAATCGACCTCTAGGTACACCCCCACCATGGCGTCTGGCGGCTCGGCCATGGCACACAACGCAGCTCTCGGCGAAGTCCGGCCATGTATGGCGCGGCTAAGCTCGGTATGAGCTACAAGGAGTCGCAAGGAAGCTAAAGGCGCGCTTCTCGAGGCGATGGTCGGTCGGGGATGAGCCGGCCATGGTGACGGGAAGTGCGGCGGTGAAACGCCGGCGAGGAATGCGCTTCGGCTGGCAGCTTACCGGCGTTGCCCGGTGAGCAAACGTGGGCGTGAGGTGACGGTGGAAGCACAATGGAGATCCTGTGGCGGTGTTAGAGTGGCAAGGCGTGGCGGGGCCAACAATGGCGACAATGGGCGCTTCATGCTGCTTCTTGCTACTGCGAAGGAGAAAAGAAGAAAGCAAGAATCTGGAATGGTGGTGGCTGGGAGGCTCACGGCGTGCGATGCGGCTTCAAGGCGGAGGACACCGCGATGGGTCGGGCCAGCCAGCCACGGCGCGTGGCACAGGCGGTCGATCGACCGGCGGCAGCGTCGTCCCGCGGCACGGCGCGTTTTCAAAGCGGAGGTTCTTGTAGCTTGACCGAAACTCGATTCGATTAACCTTATCGAGCCTCGACAAAGAAGATTGATTGCGTTGGATTTCTCAATTCATGGAGAATCGATGGACACAATGTACATGAAAGTTGTAGAGTTATATTAGGGCCTACAAATTTGGTTTAGCAATCAACAGCCAGTTCTCCACGGATCACGAGTTATATCAAGCCAAAGTTGAGGTCATGCAACTGAAACTCAGTTCCAACACTTAGAAAATTTCAGAGTTTCTAAAAAGATCTCAAAACTGACTTGTGGGACCTTTTTGAACATGTTGTGCACATTTTCATGAGATGGCTTCTAAACAAAGTTTGTTCCTTATTAAATTTACTACAACTTTGCTTTAGGTTGCTCAAGCATGCATAGACTCTAAGTTACACTTTTTAAACAGTCAAACTCAGAAGCTCTAGGGGTCCAAATTGGTCAACCATGACTTGGAAACCTAATTAGACAAAATGATCAACATGAACCTTGTTCCTAATGACATTCTAGGTGTAACTAAGTTACTTAGTATGATTATTATCCACACCACACATTGGTCACACAAGAATCAATCAAGGTATACACTGAAACGATGAAAACACAAGAAATGTTGCAAATGTTTCATAGTCATGTTTCACATATTTCGTGATCTTGTTGCATCGTATTAACTAATCTTGTTTCACTAAGTGAGTGGCACATGTTGCACTTAAGCGTTGCACACTTTACATTTCATAAAGAACAACACACATGAAATCTACAACACGTTGCAATGTTTCGAATTTATGTTTCATGTGCTATAAGTTCACAAAGGGATGCATGATGCTCATGTTCATGAAATGTAGTGCAAATGTGGAAGCCAAACACCTGGGGTGTTACAGGAGCTGTCATGCAAAAGGAGAAAGAACTTTGAGTCAACTTCTAATGCTAAAGCAGTGTAGAAATGCTCCAAATCATTTTAACAGGTAATATACTAGTATTTCGTCAACAGAGAATCAGTAAATGATAGATATAGCTTAGCAAACAAATAATATTGGTAAATGGTGGTAGTAATGACCCTTGGAATTGATTGGTTTCATTTTCATACAAAAGCAATGCAAATTATTTAAACTCAAGCTTGCTGATTGCTTTTACAGTGTTTAAATCCAAAGGATGCTACCACGAATTGAGTGGCGATCGCAAAAGCAAAATCGGACCCATGAAATTCCTCAAAACCATACCGAGACATCAACATATATATCTCATCCTCTAAGCAGTACCGCATAACCAAGAGATGCTACCACAGAATATTGAATCTCCCAACACCGGCAAACTTGCGGAGTTCTTCGGCCGTTTGATGCAATCATCTCATATTTCACCCCAATTAAGGAAGCGATTTTCACCCCAATTAAGGAAGCGAGATTAAGCACAAACATAAGTGCTAGATGTAGGATTACTGGAAAGCATCAAGAGCATGGCAATTTCAGATTTCCTAGCGACCACGCTTAAACAAGTCAAGAATAACAGATTTACGAGGCGATCCGTGTCTTCAAGTCAATTTTACATTTTACCCAACATATGGCAAAGGCAACTGATTCAAACATAGAGAATTCCCAAATAGTTATTCCAAAGAGAGACTTACCGCAGACCGATGACAGGTTTGGCCCCTCACTTGATCATAGATGCGCTTTCCATCCTTGCCATAGCCATCGACAAAGAGAGCACAAGGAGTCTCAAGGCGTCTTTGCATGTACCCAAGAGCTTGTCGTGCTCTTCAAATATATTTCTTCCTTGGCTCCTATCTCTATTACTACTGTTTTGCCATCTTCGAGTGTTTCTCTTTCTTTGGCTCGGTTTCACAATAGCTTCTCGGTTCCACGTCCTTCAACCTTAAAAAACAAAAAAAAAGGTTTTAAGAAGATTACTGCTAAGATCCAATGAGATACGATTGCGGGACATCTACATCCAAAGTTTATTAAACCTATTTTATTTATTTAACATGTGGCAAACAAATTTGGAGCAGAAAACATAATCGACAATTTTGTATTTGCCTCGTGGAAAGGCGTTAGGAGTTAACGCCATTAGGACAAGATTACGCACATGTTATTGACATGACAAGATCGTTATGGGAAAAAAGAAAGGACAGCCACATCCATTCAGATCCATACACACTGAAACTACAATACAAGCACGAGATGAAATAGACAGAGATACTTATCTTTGAAACGTGTTGAGCTAAGGTGTAAAGGGGTGGAAAGAATAGTAAAACATTCCACAAACAGGAACTGCAGGTAGATCCGTTCAGATGACGAAAAAATAAACGATCATCAATCATCGCTATACTAGATTCATGAAGACACAGGGCCGACCGAATAAAAAGAACGGATGTTTGCACATAACACATCATGACCCCAGCGTTAGGAGGCAAGAACCCGCAGCATCCCAAGAAAGTAATAATCGGGACACGCATCCACCACCGCAAAGAAGACGATTCGGTCCATTACTGAGCGACCTCCGGCGAGGCGGCGGCGGCATCGGGCTTCACCTCAGCAGCGTCAACGGACCCCGGCTCCACGGGCTTCAGCGCCACCCCCCAACGCCCGAGGCGGGCGGTAGACTGGTTGAGGTGTCGCGAGGTCGAGGATGCCGAGCCACCGCATCCGCTCCATCTTGCGCGAGGGTGAACGCAGATGCTGGGGTCTGCGTCGGGGATTTGGGGATTAGGGTTTAGACGACTTGGGAGAAGACCGCCGATGGGGGAGAGGATGCGCTGGGCAGGGGCAGTCAGCAGGAGGGTATAGGCCGGCTTGGACTTGACGAGGAACGGAGTGGAGGCCGGCTCCAGGAACGGGACTTGGTCGGAGACGACCGAGGCCGGCCATGGCGACTCGCAGCCTCTGCAAGCCGGCGGCGATAGGAGATGACCCAATCTACAACCATGAGGGGCGCACGAACGAGGAGCGCCGGATCCTTCGCTGGATCTGTCCTGTGGGGGAGATGAGGAAGATGAGAGGGGAGGGGACGGGAGGCGGCTGCTGAGAGGAGTGGCTGAGGGGTGTCTGAGAGAGGCGTCGGTGTGGGATTAGGGTTTGGGTGTTATTTTATAGATCGGAGGATTTGTAGGGGCGGCTAGTGATTGAGCCGCCCCTACAAATAGTAATACCGGGGGCGGCTGGTGAGTAAGCCGCCCCTACAAATCAGACTTATTTGTAGGGGCGGCTCGTATCACCAGCCGCCCCTACTGTTTTATTTGTAGGGGCGGCTGGTCTCTGGGCTCCCGAGCACGTCACTGTAGGGGCGGCTCCATCACTAACCGCCTCTACAAAAAAATTGTTCCGTTGCTACAAATCGTTTTTCACATAGTGAACAAAACTGCTGGTTTAAACACAAACTGACAGTTTTGGTGGAACTGAACTCTGTCGGGTGATCTCCTGAACCGGCAGTGTTGGTAGAACTGAACTCTGCCGGTTGTGTAAAGAACCGGCAGTGAAGTTGAACAACACTGCCGGTTTGTATGAACCGACAGTGATAGCTGACCCTCATCACCACCGGTACGTTTGTTCCGGTTCAAAACGCGATAGTGATAAGATGTTTTGAATCGGCAGTGAAGTGCTATTATGATGTAGTGAAATTAAAAGGTTCCAATGTCGACATATTGACATTTGGTTATTTTATTTCCCATCCAATAAATCTTCGCTCATTTGCACGCGTGTATATATACTCTTACCCTCCTTGTACTTCCCCATGCGCACACAGACGCCAAGGAGCTCAGTACATAACACAAAAATGGCGAGACCCTTGCTCTGGCTCGTGCTCTTGTGCGCCGCCCTGGCGTTCTCCACCTGCGCGGCAGGCCTCCGGCTGGAGCTCACCCACGTCGACGCGAAGGAGAACTGCACCACCAAGGAGCGCATGCGCCGAGCCACCGAGCGCACCCACCGCCGTCTGGCGTCCATGGCGGGCGGCGAGGTGAGCGCGCCCGTCCACTGGAATAAGTCACAGTACATCGCCGAGTACCTCATCGGTGACCCGCCGCAGCAGGCGGCGGCCATCATCGATACCGGCAGCAACCTCATCTGGACGCAGTGCTCGACCTGCCGGGCGGCCGGCTGCTTCAGCCAGAACCTCTCCTTCTACGACCCGTCCCGGTCGCGCACGGCCAAGCCCGTGGCGTGCAACGACACGGCGTGCGCGCTCGGCTCCGAGACCCGGTGCGCGCGCGACAACAAGGCGTGCGCCGTGCTCACCGCCTACGGCGCCGGGGTCATCGGCGGGGTGCTCGGCACCGAGGTGTTCACGTTCGGCCAGTCGGAGAACGTGAACCTCGCCTTCGGGTGCATCACCGCGAGCAGGCTCACGCCGGGCTCCCTGGACGGCGCGTCCGGCATCATCGGGCTGGGCAGGGGCAAGCTGTCGCTGCCGTCGCAGCTCGGCGACAACAGGTTCTCCTACTGCCTCACGCCTTACTTCAGCGACGCCACGAACACGAGCCGCCTGTTCGTAGGCGAGTCCGCCGGCCTGAGCAGCGGCCCGCCGGTGACGTCCGTGCCATTCCTCAAGAACCCCGACGTGTACCCGTTCAACACGTTCTACTACCTTCCCCTCACCGGGATCACGGTGGGGACAGCCAAGCTAGCCGTCCCCGCGGCCGCGTTCGACCTCCGGGAGGTCGCGCCGGCGAACTGGGCCGGCACGCTCATTGACTCGGGCTCCCCGTTCACGAGCCTCGTCGACGTGGCGTACCAGGCGCTGAGAGATGAGCTCGTGCGGCAGCTGGGCGCCAGCGTCGTGCCGCCGCCGGCAGAGGCGGAAGGGCTCGACCTGTGCGTGGGCGCGGCGCACGGGGACGCCGGCAAGCTGGTACCCCCGCTGGTCCTGCACTTCGGAAGCGGCAGCGGCAGCGGCAGCGGCGGCAGGGACGTCGTGGTGCCGCCGGAAAACTACTGGGCGCCCGTGGACGACACCACGGCGTGCTTGGTGGTGTTTAGCACGGGAGGGCCGAACAGCATGCTGCCGCAGAACGAGACGACCATCATCGGCAACTACATGCAGCAGGACATGCAGCTGCTCTACGACCTCCAACAAGGCGTGCTCTCCATCCAGCCGGCGGACTGCAGCTCCGTGTGATGGTGCCATGCCACCAGCCGGTCTTACATAGAGTGTACACACCTGTTGGTACGTGCGCTCGCCATATGTCGTTTGTAGACCACCACGGGGTGCATGGTGGCTATATATATGCGCCTATTTATTTGTTTTGTACTATGATAGTATGATTCTGCATTTTCTTATATGTTCAACCGTTATACCATACACATACATAAAATAAACAATTTTAGAGGCGCCCTGTTATTATTTTATATATGGGGTTATAATTCTAGTCATCCCTAAATATGATTGTAAAGAGACCAAGCTAACGGGCCATGGCTGAAAATCAATTTCTACAGATAAATGTTGAGACATTTGTATTTTGGGTGGTATATATTTATAGCATGCAGATATCGAGGCAACAAACTCTAAAGTCATTTACACAGCAAACTAACGAGGCCAAGTGACACAAGATTTGCCCTGAGGTTCGGTTGCTTGCTGGCAACCTATGCCCCGTTAAAGCGAGTCCTTTGACCGTTGCTTCGTAAAAGCAAGGAAAGCCCTCAAGCTTGACCCTCAATGTGGGTGCTCACAAGAGGAGCCAACCAATGAAGGCACTCCAACTAGCCTCGAGATATCCACTAGTCACCCTTTGCGATCTCCCATGGGGGTACAAAACCCCTCACAATCACTTGAATTAAGCCACCAAACAATCACCAACATGGTGCTCAACAATATAACTAGCTCGAAGCCATCTAGGTGGGGCAACCACCAAAAATAACCAGAAAACCACAGCTACCAAGCTTCTCTAGTGCCACAAGATGCAATCCAACTAAACAATTCTCTAGTGCCACAAGATGCAATCCAACTAAACAATGCACTAGATCACTCCTTAATCTCACCCAAATGTAATCACAAGCAAGCCTTATCGAGTGGAGTGTGTTCTTGAACGCTATGAGTGTGCAAGTATAAGCTAAGTGTGCTAAGAGACCAAAAATGCTGAGTCACCCTTTTATTTATAATCCACTCAAAGAAACTAGCTATTACACTATCGGTGGGCATTCTGCGGGATCACTGGAAAGCAACAAGGGTCATCCAATGGCTATATTCAAACGGTCAAACAAGCCATTGAGGTCTTCTTTACTCTGGTGCCTTTCTGCTACTAGTGGATAAATCTGGTGGCCTCCCAAGCTCTATGGAATTTCAACAGAGAAGAACAAGGCTCGGGCGCATCCTCTGATGCTGCCTTGGGACACCAAGGGAGAAATCCAGTGGGTCTCTAGGAGCTCTCTGTAGAGACTGCTTGAGAGCTCCAGGGTACCACCGGAAAAGTCCAGTGGGTCCCCATTACCTTCACCGAAGAAAGGATCATACGCTTTGAAATTTCTAGGGCTTACTTCGCCAACCTCCACGTGTCCACCCAGGAGCGCTTGCTCCAATGGTGGTGGCCTAGGGGCACCGGAGAAATCCAGTGCCCCTTGCTCAACACACTGAGTCAAGGAAGTCATGGGCTAGGGGGGCCTGAGTGCTTGCTCCGGTGCCACCGAGGGCTAGGCATCGGGTAAATTCGGTGACTGTAACACCCTAAAATTTGTACTTTTGAAAATAGGATTAAAATGATTTATTTGTAAATTTTATGCACATGAAATATAGGAAAAAGAATATTTTTCAATATATTCAAATTCATCATAAGGAGTAGCAAATGGTTGTACATACATGCCGATGCATTTGATTTATTGCAATGAGTGGTTGAATCCATAATTCAAAATGAATTCAAATCATTTTTGAAAATAAGTTTGAAAAGGGCTCTGAAATAAAAGAAAAGAAAAGAAAAAGAGAATTGGAAAATAAAAGAGTTTTCAAAAGTTTGCAAAAGTTCAGTTTTGGTAACCTCCCAAAAGTTCTCATTTTGAGAAGTATATTTGAAACAATATTTGAATTTGGTTTGCATCATATTTGAATTGAAAAAAACAAAATAGGAAAGGTTTGAAAAAAATCATTTCTTCCTCAATCTGGCCCGTGGCCCAACCGGCCTCCTCCGTCACCCCATGGCCCACTTCTCTTTTTCCCCTTCTCCGCGGAGCCCAGCTGGTCGGCCCAGCAACGCAGCGTCGCCCGCTCTGACTCCCATGCGGCCCACCTGCTCACTTCCTCCACGCACGGCCCAGCTTCGCCCCAGCCCGTAGCTGCGCGGCAGCGCCTTCCACTCCCACGCTCATCGATAGCCCGGCCCCACCTTGTCAGTCCCTCCCCTTACCTCGCGCTCATCCTTGCACCGGACTCTGCACCACCGGAGACGATGTGGCATGCGCCCCATGCCATAGCCCCCATATAAGCCGGAGCCCCTACGCTGCATTGCCCCCATCTAGCCCTATCGCGAGCCACCGCCTCCACCCGAGCTCACAGTAACCCTAGCCCGCCCATCGCCACCGACCCTTCACCGTTTTCAATCATTGACTTTTGGATGTCTAGTTTGAAAAGCAAGACTCCCATCCGTGACTCCTCTCTCTCTCTCTCTCATGTTTTAGAGCTCATGGCCACCGTAGTTTCCGAGCCGCCCGTCGCGTCGTCACCACTGCCTCCAAGAACTCATCTCTCCTCATATGCCGCATCCCTCCGCCGTCATCTTTTCACCGACATGTCTAGTTTGAAACCCGATCGCGGTGACTCCCTCGCCGTCGACCATGGTGCACCGCCGTGCTAGAGTGCCGCCCTAGCAACCATCTCTCCCTGTATTCCCGCATCCATTCATCTCTCCACCGACGGCTCGGATTAGATCATTGCGTGTTCACCGTAGACCAGAACACAATATGGACCACTCGCGTCGAGATCGTAACATCCACTCACATATGCGCCATGTCACCAATCAGCGCCAACATGCGTGTAACATTTTGCTAAAGAGACCCCAGCTTTTTCAGAAATCAACCCGCCATCCTGAGTAGTTCAAAAGTAATTAAAAATATGCCCCTGGTTTATCTGTTTTGATTCCTGGACTTTTCCAAAAATGACGCCCAGTCCACAGGACTGTTTTAATTCGGTTTTTAATTATTTTTAATATGAAATTGATTTCAAAATATTTACTGAATTGCCATTGATCTTATTTTATGCGTAGTTTCTCTGTTTTAACTCTGATTTGACCTATTCAAACTGCGTTAGATTTGTATTTTCATAATCTACGTAATAGTAACATGTAAGCCACTGTTTTCAGAAATAAAATGGGATCCTTTAGTTCCTAATTTTGGATAGCTATAGTTTGATCTCCGTAGCTCCGATTAGCGTGCCTTTCGCGTCTGAGTGTTCGTAGCAATGCGTAGATTCGTTTCATAAACTTTTCAACTTTTATTTTATTGATTGGTGTACTGTTCTAATGTGGATGTACTTGTATGCTATGCATGTATGTGTATGGATGTTTGTGTGGTGTTCTATGATTACGTCCAGTCGGTGAGATATACGTGGTGATCAAGAAAAAGAAGAAGAAGGACGTTGAAGATTAAACCTTACCGAAGGATCAATGTTTTAAGGCAAGTATAGCATGGGATCTTCCTTGTTGTCCTATACACCTTTAATCATTTAATTCATACTACATGTGTCTACCTTGACTACCACTAAGGATTTCCTAGTACTTTGTACCTTGTGCCTTGATACCTATGGTGTATTGCATTGGGTAGTATGATGCTAGTGCTCAACTACAACCATGATCTTGTAACTTGACTAATGGTATATGCAATAAACACTAAAAGATGCTTTTTAGCAACATGGAACAAGGGGGCTAGAGCATTGGGCTGTTTTTATGGTGCGCTAGATTCCTCTCCCTAAGAACTTATCTATAAGTGATCATCCGAGACTTACAGTACAGCTGTGGGGGCTACATGGCTCTGGCTTTAGCTCAGTATGAGGACCTTTTCAAGCTTGTTAGTGGTTACATTTATTGGCGTAAGAATGGCTTGATGAATCGGGTATAGTGCGGCCTCTGTCCCCTTGTGTATAGGCTGCACGTCATTGTGCCATCGGAAAGGGGGGCTCTACATCTATTTGCCGAGTGAATCTAATGGCCCTAACTTGTTAGACGAACCTTTGAAAGGCTTCATAGTGCACCCTGCCGACCTTCCTTAGTAGTGGGTCAAGAGGCTGATCATGTCGGGTCATCTCGGGCGAAAGGGTAAATCACGACTCAAAGTGAAAGTGTACAACCTCTACAGAGTGTAAAACTGGTATATCAGCCGTGCTCACGGTCACGAGCGGCTTTGGAACCCTTATGGAATAGATGATGAACACTGATGATACTGATGATGAAGATGCTCACTAATGATTACTGTTTATGCTATTCATTATTCATGTTTACCTAATCATGTGTTTATATGGGCTTGTGAATAAACTTGTTGCCACCCTATTGCTAAAATCATGACCCATTAAAAGCTAATCGCAGTTAACCAGTGTCAGCCTTTTGAGCCTTATGAACCCCATGTTATATTTGTTGAGTACGACATGTACTTATGCTTGCTTTACTTTTTAAATCTTTGGAAAAATCCTGGATGGGTACTAGATTGCTAGAGTTTGGAGGAATTAGGTTTGTGATCAACCAGTCAGTTGTCCCTATGGAATTGGAGTCTTCACCCAAAGATCGGAGTTATCTTTTTGCTATTTGCTATCTAAGGTTATATTCTTTATACTAAGTACGTTATATATTGGGCATTGCCTATTGATATTACCCTTATTTGTAGCTATATGTGAGATTTGACTTGCTAGGCTCACATATGGTGTGTATGGTTTTGTTCTTAAAACTGGGTGCTACAAAATGGTATTAGAACAATGTTGACTGTAGGACGCAAGCCTAGATAGAACTGGACGTTTTAGCATGCTTTCATCTTTGCTTAGTTCTTGCTTTCTCTACAACCTTGTTATTTTCTAAAAGATATGCTCTCTTCGGTCCCTGTTCGGTCATAAAAACCTTGTCTCTATTCTCAATCCTCTCTCTTTGTCTAAATAGATGGGTCGTAATGAGGAGACCATCGGCATCAAAGTCAGGAGGACTAGGCTACGTT